GTAGTTTATTTCTGTTTATTGCTGAGAATTGCATTTTACAGACTAACATAATTTCCTTATCTATTCAAAAGTTGATAGATATTTTTCATTGAGCTGTTAAAGATAAACTGCTGTGATTTCAGATGCCCATTTTTGAATTGGGTCTTTATATTTGGGTTGCTATCAAGAAATCAACTTATAACAAATGTTGGCAGGGTTGTGGGGAGAAAGGAACCCTTCTCCATTGTTGGTGGGAGTGAAGACTGGTGCAACCACTATGGAAATCAATATGGAGATACCTCAAAGAGCTGGGACTAGAGGTTCCATTTGACCCAGCCACCCCTCTGGTGGGTTTCTTTCCAAAAGAAATAAAAGAATTATATCACAGTGATATATGAACACCTATGTTTATAGTGGCACAGTTTGTAATAGCTAAAATTTGGAAACAGCCCATTTGCCCATTAGTTGGAAATTGGATAAAGATATGGTTTTTCTATAAAATGGAATACTACTCAGCCATAAAGAATGAGAAATTAGGTTCATTCATAGGAAAATGGATACATTTTGAAGATATACTCCTAAGTGAAATAAATAAGTCACACATGTGTAAATACCGAATAGTTTCTCTGGTGTGAAAAACTATTAATAGTATGTAAGATCCTAATGAGATAATTGACAATGTGAAATAGGAAGAAAAGGTCTAAAGGTATAGGTAAAGTGGGAAGGGTAGGGGAAAGGTAATAAGGGAAAAGAAAAAAATGAGAAAATGAAAAAATGGAAATAAAGTGTTTGTAAATGGGGAGGGGAGGAGGGGGTGAAGGGAGGACAGGGGCAAGGGGAAAAAATGAGAACCAAGAACTGTCAGGTGAAGGTACAAGATCCCAATGATTAATGTGTCTGTACTGTATACCTAAAATGTACTAATAAACTCAATAAAAAAAAACTGCTGTGAACATTTCAATTTTTTTTTTTGTAGGCATCAGTCTTCACTTCTATTAGATAAATACCTAGGACTTGGATTGCTGGGTCATATGGTAAATTAATAATCTGTGTTGTAAGAAACTGTCCATCTGTTTTCCAAAGTGGCTATGCCATTTTGCATTCCCTCCAGCAACATATGAAAGTTCCAGCTGTTCTCCCCCCATCAACATTCAGTATTGTCAGCCTTTTTCTGTTTAGTCATTTTAGAGGGTGTTAAATGCTATCTCACTTTGGGTTTAATTTACATTTTCCTAATGGGTAAGGATATTCTGTGCCTTTTATATGAGCTATGCCCTCATTCCTTTTTCATTTTCTAGTATGACACAAAATCTCTGTAAGTTGCCAAGACTGGCCTTGAACTTGGTACCCCCGGATTCAGACTCTCAGAGTGCTGGGATTACAGGTGCCAACACATCTAGCTCTGGATTACTGAATTTTAAGATTCTATATATGTCCTAGAACATATCCTTTACTAGACATATATTTTGAAAATGATACTTTCTTTCAATTAGTGGATTGTCTTTCATTTTCTTAAGTGCCACTTAAAAAATAACAAAAAAGGTGAAGTTTATATGATCAGTTTTTTCTTTTTTACAGTTTTTTTGCTTTTTATGTACTAATAAATCTTTGTGTAATAAATCTTTGAAATTTAAGGTGGAAAGAATTTCTCCTGTTTTCTTCCAGAAGTTTAATAGTTTTGGCATTTTCATTTAAATATATGTTCGTATTTTTAGCTAATTCTAGGTATTTTGTGAGGTAAAAGTCAAAGTTCCTCTCTTTTCCCTTTTCCTTTTCTTCTCTCTGTATATGTGGATATCCAGTTTCAGCATAATTTGTTGAATTCATTGAATTACTTGAAACGTTTGCTGCAAGTTAGTTCATCCTATATGGATGGTTCTATTTCTGATATCTCTATTTTGTTCCATCCATGATTTTATTACTTTCCTAATACTGTAAAATATCACCCTGATTATTATCTTTATAGTATGATATTAAACAATTCTCCAATTTTGTATTTCTTCCTTGAAAATTATTTGGATTATTGTATGTTCTTCACATTTACCTTGTGTGTTAGATATAATGCCAAATATAATAGTTTGCTGGGAGTTTCACTGGAATTGCACTAATCTATAGATCAAAATATGACATCATAATAATATTGAGTCTTCCAATCCATGTACATGGTCTAATTCCCATTTATTTAGTTCTTTTATAATTTGTCTCAGCAATGTTTTGTCATTTACCATATGCATGTCTTCTCTCTATATATTGATAAATCATCCTTTATATACTATATATCCTTATATATTATCCCTTATAAATTATATAAACTTGATATATTATATTATTGATTAATTTCTAAATAGCATGTTAAGATTTTAATTTCCAGTTTTTGCTAGTATATAAAAACAGCATTTTATATTTATCTTCCATTGTGTGCATTTATTTCTCTTATTTCTCATATCTTTTTGTGAATTTTTTAGAATTTTCAACACAACTGTTTTACTTCTACCTTCCTAATCCATCTTTGACTTTCAGTACATTGCTTAATAAATGAGATGAGTGTCAATTTCATTGATTTGTTCCTGATTATAGAAGGAAACTATTAAGTATTTTGTCATTGGCTTTTATCATTTTGAGGAAATCCTTTATATTCCTACTTTATTAAGAGTATTTCATCATGAGTGCATATTACAGTATATCAGATGATTTTCTGTATTTATTGAGACCATGTGTTCTTCTTTAGTTTGTTAATATAGTGTTGCATTGATAGGTTATTTTAAAACTTATTTCTGTATTCTATTTGCTAAATTTTTCTTAAGAATTCTGCATTTATCAATAGCCATGCCATTCTGAATGCACTCAATCTCATCTGATCTCATAAGAATTTGGTGTTTATGTTCACTTGTATTGGTCTTTAGCTTTATTTTCTTGTAATGTTTTTGAGTAGTTTTGAATTTTTTAAATTTATGAGTTTTGGGGGGCCTCATAGAATAAGTAAGGAAGGGTTCTCTCATTTTTATAGTTTATTACAGGATTTTAAAAATACTAAACTCTTTAAGTACTATAGGAATCAACATAATAAAGGTGGATTGGAATTTTGAATTTTATAATATAATACTTCACAAAATACATATTATGTTTCATGTAAAACAGATATCATAAACACTAAAATTACTAAAACATGTTATTTAAATATTTTGGTTATTGTACATTCTACAGACATTAATTGTGAATTAAAACAACCTGAAAGAGGAGCTGTTTTACTTAAACAATTTAATAACAATTTTTTCGAAGTCAAGCCTCACATTTCAGTGGTAAATAATGGTTCAGTGGCAAATAATGGTAAAGGGGCAAGATATAGCTGGGAGACTAAAAAAATGCTGAATTTTTCATCTCATATAAGGTGGAATTAAGCTAAACTTTTTCATTCTTGTCTTTCAAACATATAGAAACAAGGTTAAGGAATGTTTTCATAGTGCTTAATTTTTATGGATAATAGAACTAAAATATAATTAGCACATTCCTGCAGAGTTTAAAAGAAAATAAAAATGATTCATATGTTGTATGTACATTTGTGTTTTTCTGAATCCATCTATACATGCATACCAGTGAGAAAAAAAAAAACAAACTCAAGATAAAAACATAGAAGTTATGAAAAACATCAGTCCATTTTATTCCGGAATTAGTGAAAAGATAGTTTATAAAAATACTGTTTGCTTAAGATCTCCCCCCGGAAAACCAAAGAATGCTAAACAACAATCATAACAATTAAGATATACTCAAGAATTATCAAGCAAACAACAAAAAAAAAAGACAATTGTGGAAATAAATCTTTAGGAAAAAACCAAACACAATTATTTTGAGTGATATTACATGTCTTCCAAACTGACAAAAAGGAAAGAATATAGAAAATCTAAGCAGTATCATTAGTGAAGTCAAATAGAAGTGTTTATGGATATATAGCCACAAATCATAGCCTATGTGACTTAAAATATTTAAAACTTTTTATTGTTTTGTTTTTTTTGTTTCTGCATACCGGGGATTGAACTTGGGTCCTAGCGCTTGCAAGGCAGGCCACTGAACCACTGAGCTAAAACCCTGGCCCTTTAAAACTATTTATTAAAGAATAGTGTAATAAACCTTATCATCACTCAACTTCAATAATTACTAACTCACAGCCTATATCATCATCCTGCTCTAGGTAATTTTAAACAAATCCAAGGAATAATATAATTTCCATAACCAATAATCACTTATCTCTAAATGTAATTTAAATAACATTATTATATTAAAAATTCATAATTATTTACTAAATATGATCAAATATCTTCTCAGTTATTACATTCCCCTAACCGACTCAACATTTTAAACATTTTGTGTCCAAACCAAGATTATTTGCAAATTGAAAAGAAATTACCAAGTAAACCAGAAAACCAGCTATATATTCAGAAGTACAGGAAAAAAATAGGAAAAAATGTATTAAAATACTAAGAATATTTATCTCTGTGTAACAAAATTAAAGCTTTTAAAATTATCTTTATGCCATCTACCATAAATGCAAGAGATCATTGCAATCATTCATCATGATCATTAAGCTAATGATTCATTTGTTAATCCAGTCCAATTTTATCCAGTTAAGAATGGGTTCCAAGCTGCTACTTAACTACATCTGTCTGTTTTCCCTATTCCCTTAATTTGTGAAGGATTTCTCTATGTGCAAAACATGAAAAATTAAAATGGCTCATTAATTAAAAAAACATTTCTTACAGCAGTGATGGTGAACCTTTTAGAGACGTGTCCAAACTGCAACCCCAAACCCACTTATTTATTGTGATGTGCCAACACTGCAACTAAACCTGTATAACAAGGTTGTAGTTTGGAAGAAAATACCTCATACATTAACATCTTTTTTCTTAAAAGAACAGATAACACCCATGCCACTGTTTTGCCCCCATTTTATAGTATAGTTTCATCCCTGTATGGAATTTTAAAGCACGTTCCCATTAGCTATTATGCTCATTATACCTCAAAAAGTATTCTTTCTAACCAAACACATCGTGGTTTCAGAGTCTTTGTAAAGCAGAGTCCAGAAATAAAGTGACATTAGCAAAAGGTATGTATATTTGTATTTCTAAAGTATTTATAATAAAGAAGCTCACTCCAGGAAATAGTCTGGAATACTCAGTGGTGTGTTTGAACTGTAGGCCTGTTTCATGTCTCATCCCTGCTGAGCTGATGTCCCTGGATAAAACCGACTTCACTTAAACTTCTATATTTATTTTTCTGTCTCTGGTCCCTGTCTGAAGCTTCTTACAATATGTTACAAAGATCTTCTGTGTTGACTATCTGGAGGGGTCTTTTCATTTTTCTGGCATTAAAAGGCAGAGTGATTTGGTGGGTAGCACAATTCAAATATGTGTACTTTTATGCAATACCAGGCACTGCCATTTTTTTTCCTCCTTGTTGCATCCTCTCCTCTTGACTTCACACACAATTTTTTGTTCTTGAGTGGTCTCTGTTGAACCTAAATATCTATAAACATTTTATTCCATATGAAGTTGGCTCAAAGTTTTGAAACACAGACATTTCAGAAAAGAACTTGGAGACATAGTCTGCGCTGAACTTTTTTCCTTCTCTCTTTGTACCTTAGTTCCAAACCCTATTCCAGGATCCTATTTTTCTCACAATACTCCTCTGGTGATTGATAGTAATCTAATGTGTTGTCTTTCTCAGGTTCTTACAAATTTAAAATCTGGATTTGAATTTTCACTGCACAATGAATGAAACTTTAGTTGCAGATTTGAATTAGTCACAAACTAGTTGGGGAAGAATGGTAAGATTGGTTGTTATATTTGAGGCAGCAGAAGGGAGAATCATCCATAATTCCCCTTAAATTATACAGTGTCTACAGTAATCAGTCATTGTGGATGTAGGGAGAGAAATACCTTGGCTTAGCTGGTCCTCTAGAACACTGTCTCCCCATAGATTCACTTGCTCTACCCCTACAATAGAACAGAAATTTTAACATGGGGCTCTGGGTTCCATAGCCTATTTATGTGATTGCTTATGCGAATAAACTAAGGGGCCCATGGAGGCTGCAGGCCTCAGGAATCCCTCTGACCTGCTGCGGTGCCTATAAGAAGCATTATGAGAGTGATTTCTTTGAGTTATGGCAGTCAAATTCTAGTGGAACAAATCAACATACTTGTACTTCTTAGTTTAAATGATGACAGGAAACTAGAATAATTGGGGGCACCACAAGAAATACAATTAAGAGGAGAAGGAGGAAGTTTGGGGAACTGTGTATTGTCAAACAGGATATTGCATAGCTCTTCCCAGCGACAAAAAGTGCAAGATTGGTAGCTTTCCTGAGAAAGTGATGCCCAGTCGATGGATGGATGAACGAATGAAAGAATGTGTGAATGAATCCCATGTCTTTCTGGCCTCTTTGTGTTGAATTCAGTTCAATGTTGTATTTCTCTCCAAAATATGTTCAAACTTTGGTTTGAACTTTTCTAGCCCTCTTCTCTCGCCTCATTTCCTTGGGTTTCTCAGTTGTGTTTCTCTTTTGTAGTTTACTTTTATGTTCTGGTGATTTTAAACCTCAGAAAATAGCTTGAACACGGAGCAAAGTAAACATCTTTAAACGTGCAGATTGTAAATATTTCCACATTAAAAATGAGATGCTTTCATGTTTTGAGTTCAAGTTAGATGTAAGCTGTGTAATAAACTATAATAACCTGAATCCATAATATCCTTGTTTATACAACTGAACTGTAAAGTTTGATATATACAGGCACAGTTAGTAAAGCCTTTACATTGGTTTGTTTCTGAAATATGATTCCCTCCAGTCTGTACCCTGAAGGCTTGAATTTGACTCTTGAACAAAAACAAAAACCTAGAGATAAATAAGGTGAGAGAAGAAAGTTAACTCCCCTAAAACCATTATCTCAGCTGCTTTTCTTTGAGTGCGTTTTAATGCATGCTCATCAAAGATTGAAATCTACCACAGCCTTTGAAGCTACAATGATGATTTCTAAATTAATATGGCAAATCAGAAATATTGGTTCATCGGTCCTACTCCCAACCTTAACTTCTTTCCCTAGACTGCCAGGAAAAATATCTGTTTGCATATACAGAAAAGACCAAAACTTGTATCAACCCTATGAAATAAGAATAATCAAAAAACAGTGTGTCAAACCCCCATGAGACGTATAGCAACTGTGTGCTTCTTCAGCCCACTGATGTGTCTAGCCTTCATGACCCTGAATGGAGAAGGCAGCCCCAAAGGTTTTCATATACCCATTGTCTTTGCCTGACTCTCAGATTGGCAGGACATAGGTCTCACAGACTTTAATCTGGGTTATTTTATGGATTTTAGTCTTTATCTAAAGTACAGCGAGAGACTATGGAAGGGTTTAAAAACAGAGTGAATTACACTTTCAACTCACCACAAGCGATGAAATTTAGAGAGTTTTTGTGAAACAGCAGGAAGGTGTTCCAGGCCAGTAGTAGATTTGGGTGGGAGGTGACAGTGGTGGAGCCGGGCAAGCACAGAGCATTAGAAGCTGTGTAGGAGCAGGTGTGATGGAAACACCACAAAGAGCTACTGACTGTAAGTGAAGTAAAAGAATAAAAGAATAGCCACGTTATTATCTAAGATCCAGAAGAAAAATTATTTAATTCAATCCAATATGTTTTCCCATTTCTATTTTATTTTTTATTTATTATTATTATTATTCTTGTTTTTGTACCGGGGATTATTAAACTCAGGACCTTGAGCTTGTAAGGCAGGTGTCAGAACCACTGAGCTAAATCCCCTGCCCATTCCCATTTCTATTTTAAAAAGGGGGAAAAAAATCTATTAAGTCAGGAATAGGAGGAAACTATAGAAAAATCTCAATCTCTATGCGATAACTGACCTCATATCATATAATAGAGTCTCAATTCTAAAATGCCTATTTTTTCAGGATTTAATGTTTATGAAATCAGTTGTGTCCTAGAATCATTGTAAAACAGGAAATTTGCTGGCCATCAATCAGAGCACTGTGGCATATGTTATCTTAACCGAATAGAACAAATCTGTCTTTGAGGAAGATTTCTCAGTCCCTCTTGTTTCCATCTTAATTTCCAGCCCAGAAAGATAAAGTACTCTTCTGAAGTCAAATGCTCCTCCATAGTATAAACTTCTCCTCTTTCCATCCCATTCCCGCTCTTCTGTTTAGTGAAGTCAGTCAGAAGTAGATTCAAATTCTACATTTCTCTCCCTATTGTTGTACTACCTCGATCAGATTAACCTATATAACTTCCTTTTCATTGTCCCAAAATAGGTCTGGGCGAACACCTGTGTTCTGTTTGTGTAGAGGGAGGACATGTACAGAGAGCATCCTGCACCACGGCTGGAGTATGACAGCTGCTCGCTGAGTGGAAGTCATTACTATTTCACCAAGATGCTTCTCCACCAAGACCGCTGCAAAGAGGAGAATTATATTAAATATATTGCATCTGTTAATTGTATTATTGTATTTAAGTCAATTCACATGTACCAAACTCTGCTCACCATGGCATCTCCTCAACGTGTTTTCCCTGACAATTTCGTTTTCCGATTTCTTATTCTAGGTAATACTGTAAAGCTTTCCATCATTCTTTGAACTCCTGTATTTTGCTACAGTTCCAATAGCTGCTCTGTTGCGAAGTCTTATGACTTCTGTCACCAAAATACAGCTTATATTTGTCTCTGTGTCCGTTTTCAGTTTTTAAATTTATTCTCAGTTCTTGAGCCATAATTGCAGTAGCTACCTATTCTACCTATCCCTTCTATTCTGTCGTTATCCTCGGCCAACATAAGTCCTTCCGTCTGTGGCCATGCCATTTGTATACCACCCCAAACTTTCAGAGTTTTATAATAGTCAAACTTAACAATTTAAGTCTTTCTGTTTTCTGCTTATGTTTCACCTTTGGAATCTTCCCACTATTATCTTACAAGGACTTTATAGCTCAATGACATTGGACTTCCAGCTCCATCTCAAACACCTTGATCATTCTTCTGTTTGAGTCTCAACTAATATTTTCTTCCTTTTGGAACATCTCATCTCACTAAAATTACTTACCTTAGTGAGCTGAAATGTTACCTCATCTCTGACAGTTTTTCATTTATTCAGCCTATTTGATCAGTTGAATAAATTCCAACATTCCTGGAAACCTTAGCAACATATTAGGTTTCCCATGTACCCTTTAGCTTATAGGAATTTGTATGAAAACTTTACCATTTATGTAATACCTCCCAACTTTGGGTTATTTTAAGCGTGAAGTTACCATGGAAAATCCATCACTTTTTGTTTTTAAAGATGATATTCTTTAGGGAAATTTTCATCATTTATTTGGAAAAGAGGATCAATGTTTCATGTGGAATAGACAGAAATAAGTCATCATTATTCATACTGTTTGTCTCTCTAGATATTCATCTCCTTACCCTCAAATCATATCCTACCTTGTAGACAATAGTCAATACAGTTATCTTAGAGATCACTTTAGGAAGAATTTGCCAATATTTAAGCATCTTTATTGTAGGTGTTTCTCACCCTAACAGGGGAGAAAAGATTTCTTTTCCTCACCAATTGTTAGGTTCATGGCCGAGATATTTATTTAAAAAGACAAATTAACAAGAAAAAACACATACAATTCTTAATAGATTATATGTGACATGTGAAAGTTCATAAGAAAACGAAGATTCAAAGAAACCTGTGTATTTTTATGCTTAGTTTGATGAAGAAGTGGATAATCATGGCGAAATATGATTGCATAAAAGGGGGTGGGATCTAATGGTAGTAAACTGGGGGAACTTAGTAAACCTGTTCAGATTCTTCTCGTATCTCTGTGTCTTTTGAGATAAGGATGTTTCTTTCCACAAGGTAGAAGGTGGGTATCTCTCATAGGGGAGTCTTATGGTTCATTTCAGAGGAAGGTCAGAGAATTCTGCAAATGCCTGCTTCAGGGGGGAAGGGGAAGGTAACAGAAATCTTCCTGCTTCAGCTGTTTTCTCAAATGCATAGTGGTATATTTTTGGGGTCCTGATTCCCATCACCCCCTGCCATTTATATTCTTTTGAATACGGATTTCTGGCAAATACATTTTCTGTTATTTCTCTACATTTATTGTGATGGTATTGTACATGAATAAAATATTTTATTAATCTGCATAGATTTGTGTCCTACTATATTTTAAAGTTTGAGGAACTTTCAGGGCTAAAAAAAACAAGCATCCCTCTCCATAAAATCCCAAATCTTTGAAGCAAAATAATCCTATTATAATTGATTGCATGTTTTTAATTTACACCAACTCAATGAATATCTATTTTGGGGAGAAGCCATGAGTTCAGGGATCATCTGAATAAGATATCTGATGATAAATAGCTTTGGAGGAAGTTCCAGTTACATAGGAATATATTCTAGTCTGCTATGGGACAGTGGGATGACTATAGATAAAAAGATGCACTGCATATCTCAAAAAGCTTGAAGGATTTTGATTTTACCATAAAGAAATTATAAAAGCTTGAGGAGATAGATATGCTCATCTGATTAAACATTAAACAATATATGCATGTTCTAAAACATCACATGGTATTCCATTAATGTGTATAATTTTTAAATTTTTATGTATCAGTTGGAAAAATAAATTAAATTTTGAAAAAGTGATGAATGGTAAACCTATTTAACTCCTTTTCTGAGTATTAATTTGTCAGATTGAGAACTTGATACATTTTTTCTCTCCTTTCATTTTATTGTTTTGCTGTGACATGTAAGTTTCAAGGCACAAAGATTAATAATGCTAATATTGTATATAAGTAATCAAATAGTCTACTAAAAACTTAACGTGCACACATACTAAATATGTTTATTTTAATTGGCCTGTCGCTACATTTGTGGTACGATACAAGGATGAAAACAGTACAGATTAATGACTCTCTCATCCACCATTTTGACAGACCCTTTTTCAAAGCACCAGTATTACCCACTTAGAAAGTGGATTGATGCCAACCCTCAGAGCTCTGTTTCTTCCTTCAGCAGACCAGATGGTACTAAAAATTCAAAATATTTCCACCAACAGCTGTATCTTTGACAACAAAATTAATACCAGCTGAAACACCACTGCTATGTGAAGGGCATAATGATCAGGCTCTTTAGTCTAATATAAATAGCCATATTATAGGCTATATTAAGAAACCAACGGCAACAGAAAAAACAAACAAAACAAAACAACCAAAAAAAAACACAGTCTGATCAACTCTCGCTAGATGTCAATCAGATTTCCTATCTAGTACAGAAACCAGAGGCATGAGCCCTGCTCTGTTTATCGTGGAGTAGCTGCTTCTAGCAGAACGTGAAGTACGCCTTCTCCTGGAGCAACTGTTCGTCCATTGACACATTTTCACCACTGAACTTTCCAAAACAGCATCATTTAGAAAAAAGAAAAAAGAAAAAAAAATTCTTTAAGGCTGGTCTTTCTTCTCTTGAGGAAATATATCTTTAAGGAGGATTTGAACTAGAAGTTAATCTTTAAAATTCTTTAAATTGAAGTAATGTGATTTTTAAAATAAGATTTAAAATATTTTTAGAAAAAGATGAGAACTTTAAGTCTGGTTCAAAATACAGTTTGAAATATCTAACTCGAATTTAGTGGTCTAATAGAGTGTATACGTCTGGTGGCCATAAATATATTAAACAGCTTATGAGTTCAAGAGTCAGAGAATAGAAGGTACAGATGATAATGAGTATTGGTCTAAGTGCAAAGATAATTAAGTTTAAGTGTTAATAAATAACTTGCAGGAAGATAGAATAATAGCGACAAGGTTGTAACTATATTCTTTCACCTAGGAGTAAAATAACACAAGTAGATGCACTGTACAGTAGAATAAAGAATGCAAAATTCTCAGCTTTAAAAGTGATGTGAAATGGACACCATTAGCCTTTCCAGAGAAATTTTGTTTCAACAGAAAGCTAATTGTCTGATTATTTTAAGCAGCAACCTGTGCTGTCTTTCTGAATTTAAAATGTGTTGTCATACCCAGAATCAAAGCATATTATTGTAGCAGAATAGATTAATTTTGAACGAATTCCCATCAAACAACTTAAAGAGAGGAAATTTGCTGAGGGACTGGAATAGAGCATACACTAGGAAAATATCTTCAGTTGCATTTTTGAGAGTTAGAATCAAAGAAATCATACATAGGAGATAGGTATGTTTGATGTTAAGCAATATGTACCTATACCAACACGTCACATGATATTTCATTAATGCGTTCATGCATTGATACCTGAATTCAAAGCTGGTATTAGCCAAATCTTGTTGCAGCAACAAACTTCTTAGTAAAATGCTCAAGAAAAAACCCAAAGAGTGAGGGAGTTAAGAAATGACCCGTCCCTCCCAATAATTTCTCCTCCGTATCTGCAGTATACTTTCTACGTCAACATTTTGAGGAACCCGTGGGTGAGAAAAGGAACCAGAATTTTGGAAAGGGTTTCAGTGAATTTTTTTTTTTTCAGAGAAGTAGTTGATATTTGTTGCATTTGGAGTGAGCTTCCTGGTTTTAGTGAGGGTAGCAGGACTCCTGGATGGCAAAGGGCCAGCGGTACCTAAAGAAGAAAGAGAATGTGTTTCCTGGAGAAGACTGCAGAGCTAGCATGCTAAATCAGAAGGATTAAACCTGCAGGAAAACTCGGCATGGGCGGAGAGAGGGTAGGCTCCATAGAACTCAGATGGACAGACCACTGTGTTTGTTTTTCTATGGTTGTTAGAGCAAATTACCACACACTTTGTAGCTTAACAAGACATGCACTATTTTATAGTTTCATGGTTCAAAAGCCCACAGTGAGTCTCTGAGTTAAAATCCAAATTTTGGGAGAGATTCATTCTTTCTGGAGATTCTGGGGGAGAATTCATTTCATTGTCCTTTCCAGTTTCAAGTCAACACTTACCTTTCTTGGTTCTTGCTCCATTCTCAGGCCAGTAGCAGTGAATTAGTTCATCGTTACCACATCACATCCCATTACTCTGACCTACTCTTTTTATCTCTTCCACATGGATGGGCCCTTCTGTTCACATTGCACTGACTGGATGCAGCCTAGGACAATCTTCCTATTTTAAAGTCAGCCTATTGACAATTTTAATCAGTCTGAAACCCTAATTTCCCTTTTCCATGTGAACAAACATAGTCAAGAGTTCCCGTGGTTAACATACAGACATCTTCTGGAGTCTTTATTCTGATACCACAACCACTAAAGCTTTACCTGAACTGTAAAACAAACACAGTTCCAGGAAAGAGAGATCTAATCTGTAAAGAATGTCACTCACTTAGCCAATTTTCATAGTTGAGTTAGTTCAAAGACTTTTGGTTGCCACCGATATAGGAATTAGGAGTATTC